AATCTCGCATTATAATGAACTATTCTTTAAACACACTTCCAAACCTATTACAAATATCTTATTATATCAAAGAGTATTATTAAAATCAGAGTTAACCATTATCCGAAGATTTTCAAATACAGTTATAGTAATTTTATCTCGTTATTATGAAGTTCAAATTTTTTAACCAATAAAAATTTATCTTAAAATCACTTTTTAAACACATGTTCAAAAATTTTATGCATTATGACAACCAATAACGAAAGTCCTGTTTCAATAGAACAAATAGAAGAGATTTATACTTCTCAAAAATGTTCAAGCCTAATCAAAGAAAAGTCCAAGACAAATACAAAAAGAAAGCGTATATGTTTGACTATAAGTCAAAAAATAGATATATGCAAATCAAAAGAAGCAAATCCGTATATAAAAAATATTGAGTTGGCTTCTAGTTATGGTATTAGTGAAGCAACAATTTCAGATATCTTAAAAAAAAAGCAACACTTTTTATCGTTACAACCTAACAGTTATACAGCAACATTGCGAAAAGAAAGATCATCAAAATATCCTAATATTGAACAAGCTTTGGCATTTTGGATTGATCAAGCAACTAATGATAATAAAATCTTATCTGGACATATTGTAATTGCGAAGGCAGCAGCATTTGCAAAACAGCTTGATATAAAAGATTTTAAGGGTTCGCAAGGATGGCTTGATCGGTTTAAAAAACGTTATAATGTTCGGGAATATATTTGTCATGGAGAAGCCAACTCCGCACCATTAGAAAACCTTTCAAAATATCGTAGTGATCTTCAAGAACTTCTATCTGGCTGGAATTTAGATGATGTTTATAATTGCGATGAAACCGGCCTTTACTGGAAGCTTGAACCATCAAAAACACTTGCTCGACATTCAATTGCAGGAATCAAGAAACCTAAAGACCGGGTTACAGTTCTTCTTACTTGTAATGCAACTGGAACATCTAAATTAACACCGGTTTTTATTCACAAACATAAAGATCCTCGATGTATGCGCAACATAAACCGAAAAGATTTACCCGTTTATTACTATTGGAACTCCAGTGCATGGATGCAGTCAGGAATTTTTTCTCATTGGCTTACAAAATTAAATCAAGATTTGCGGAGACAACAACGAAATATTCTTTTGTTACTTGATAATGCTACTGTACACTCGCTAGAAGAAGGTATTTCATTCTCCAATATTAAGCTGCATTATCTTCCAAAGAATACTACAGCACATTTGCAGCCTTGTGATGCTGGAGTTATCCATTCATTCAAAGTACGTATGTAATTTACAAATATCAAATTTAAATTTATTATTAACTTTTTTTTTTTTAGTCGAAATATAGACAACTTTTGTGCAAAAATAGAATCGATGCTTATGATGCATATATCAATGCAAACATTTCGGTCCCAGCACTTACAATACTAGATGCAATAAATTTTACAGGAGAAGCTTGGAGTCATGTCAAAGCCAGTTCGATAGCATCTTGCTGGTTACGAACTGGTATTCTTCCACCAAAACCCACCAATGAACTTGATAACTTTATCAATTTTTCTGAGAATGAAGATGAAGTTGTCCAAGAATTAATCGATCGTCTTGCACTTGATAATCCATATTCAGCTAATGAGTACATTGATATTGATTCTGGAATTGGAATTGAAGACATTTTAAATGATGAAGAAATCATTTCTTTAGTCCAAGGCAAGGAAGTCATTGAAGATGATTACAATCAGGAATCCTTTAAGCCAAATATAACAGCAATCGATGCCATGGAATCAGTTGATAAGCTGAAATCATTTATTATGCAAGAGGAGGTATATATGGATATAAGCCCTAGTTTTATCCGTGAGTTAAATCAAGTAAAAAGAAAACTATGTAAAGAAATTGCGAAGTCAAAGGTTCAAACAAAATTAAGTAGTTATTTTACATGTAATTAATTGTTATCCACAATACAATAAAACAAACGAAATTAATACCATTGCGATCCGAAATCTATCCTAATACTCAATTTTATATGTACCACGCATTATCACCTATTTGTGCCTAATGATTTTTGTTGCCAGGTATAACGAACGGACGCATTCCACAAAGTTTCCAATAAGATAGTAATAGGAGGCCAGACTCAAGGCTGCCGTAACTTTTTGCACACAAATTCTCGGATGGCTAGAAGGATTGTCTTGTCTCGCTGGGACGATGTCTTCCTTTTTCAACATGCAACTAATCTTTTCTGTGCTTTTTAGATCTTTCATGGTCTCGGCGAAGATATCGACTTCTCTACGATGAAGCCACCGAACTAGATAAATGGACGAAAGATAGAAAACTAAGGAGAGTAGGTGAGTATCTTGAAGAAGCGGCATCAGAATGGTACAGAGAGAATTGGGACGGCCTTACCTGCTGGAACGATGAACGCGACCGCGAAAGAAGTTTCGTGCCGACGTTCGTGCGACACTTTGTGGCGCTAGAACAATGGCGGCAATGGCAGAAAGAATTAGAAAACATAAGGCAGGAAGACAATGAAAAAGTGATTGAGTACGCTCGCAGGTTCGTGAGGCTACTCGAGAAGGCCTACCCCGACGAAAACTACCACAAGAAGCCGGCAGAATGGTTGCTCGCGATCGGATTAAGAGAGGACCTACTGTCTTCACCGGCCGTGGCAAATGCGACCGACCCGGGAGAAGCACTCAAAGCAGCAGCGAAGATAGAGGCCGAGGCGGAAAGGCGAGCAAGAGAGCCAAAAACGCTAGAAGATCGCGTTCAGGAGCTGAAAAAGCAAATGCGAGAAATAAGCGGAAAGTACTACTGGTATTCCGCCACCGTTGTAAGAGAACCAATGACGGCGCCTAAAAAAGAAAAGCTAGCTTATTGTAAGTATGAGAAGGATTATGATGATGCGCCTACATCTGAAGAGGAAACAAACAGCATTAGTATCTATGGGAAGAAAACCACTAAGGGGTACCCAGCGAAGATCCCGATCTCGAATGATGAAACCATGAAGGTACCTGCTGACGAGATTAATAATAAGGGATCTGACGGGAACACTTGGTGGAACGGAAGGTCGAGCAATAAAGAGAAGAAGGGTGAAGACGAGGAAGTATGGTTGATATCATTTGATGATGATGAAGTGGAAGCGATAAAGAAGACGAGCAATAGCCCTAACTCCGATGATGATGTAGGACCGGAGGTTCAAGGCCCTACGACGTATTTTCCCAAATTGGAAGAAACGCTGGCGGCGACCAAAGAGAACCTAACAACGGTCAATAAAACTGAGGACGAATTGAAAGAACGATGTGAGTTAACGAAAGAAGCAGTGGCGGAAGAGCAAGACAGTACGGTAACGAAGGAACAGCCCACACCCTGCAATATGAGACCAGGAATGATGGATGGGAAGAATGACTATTTCGCCACGAAAATGGGTGATGAAACCGACGCTGAACCACGCCCTGATGATTAAGATCCCACCGAACAGCTAACACAACAGGCAGAACTGTCGATGCAGCCAGAAGATCAAGCAGAGACAGTAGATGTTAGAGAAACCGAAGCAGATGAGGGAACGAGAGGTCAACATGAACATATGGAAAAAGCGTTAGTAAAAGAAAGAACGAGCTGCTGTACCAGTAGAAGCACCATCAGGGCCATGTGATGAGAGTCATATCGAAGCGAGAGGAGGAATAGGGTGCTCCGAAATAATGCTACGTACCGTCGACGCCAGTGATGATAATGCCTCAATCAACCAGGACGTGCACGGAAGCCAAAGGGAAATGATGATTGTAACTACCTGGAGAACTCATGCACATGCACCAAGCGATGAGACGTTCAGACTGTGCAACATCCCAGCATTCTGGCAAAAACTGATGGATATGCTTCGACGCGAGTTCCGGAAGAAGTTTGTGATGGCACACTCTGAGGGCTTTGTAAGGCTAGCATCCCGCACTATGATGATGATTGAGAGGACGGTTTGGATAGACAGTCCAGTAAAAGAACTCCTGATCGAGCATGGGAATGCAACTAGGAGTACCGTCCCGAAACCTGAGTGCGAAGCGGTGATGCAATGCTCCTCCACGAGTGCTAGCCATATCACGACTCGTCAGAACACCACATGCGGAATAAGGAATATAACAGTCCATCGGAATGACGAGAAGACCAAGGGTAATGTAGCGATGTTCGTGTATAATGATAATGCGATGGACCAACAGAATCGGGAAGATATCACGCGACCTATTCAGTCTGCAGTAGATCCCGGTAGAGATACTGCAATATGTGGAGAGACGGAGTTGATTGAAAGAAGATTAGTAGCAGCTACAGAGGTAGAAATAAATGCGCTCACGGATGAGAGAAATGAACTAGATAATATCACCCGGAGTGGAACAGTAAACGGCCTAAATGATAATAAGTGCGAAATGGAGCGAATGCAAGTGAACGTGCGGCAAATGAACTTGTCCGCAAAGGTGTCCCGAAACCTCGACATGTCATGTGACACACGACAGAAATTCGGAGAAGACAACTTGAATTGGAACTGCGAAACCACCACAGCTGGCATTACACATGAGCTAGCATTGATAAAAGTCATGACTGACGACAGCATATACCACAAAGAATAAGCGTGGGGGAATGTTGTGGGCGATATTGTGATGCGTTGCGTCACTCCAGCAAAATAACGGTAAGAATGATGTAATTTAGGTGTCATATCATATAGATAGAATAGCGAACAAGGCATATAAATAGGGAAAATTAGTTTTAGAACAAGTTTAGTTTTGGAACGCGCCTTTGTTTTTTTATTCCAAAAACCACGATAATAAAGAAGACTTTGCTTTGAAAAGAAATCGTGTTACTTTTGTTTCTGTAAGTGACACTTGTAATTTTGAGACGCGCCTAGGAAAGGACAGTCAAGAAGTGTGAAAGTCAGCCAAAGTGTAATGCGCCTTAGAGTTAAAGCCTTACCTTATCAAACATCATAACCCACGGTTTTGGATTATCATCACATGAAGAGTGAGCCGTTTTAGCGACAGACTCGCTGGTGACAACAACACCATTTCTTCTCGTTCAGCTGGTAACCCTCGACTTGCATGATCCTGCGATAGATCTTCAGTAAGTGTTTTGCTTCTTCCTATCCTTCTGTTCCTACAAGAAATGGTATCCACTTACAATCATTATTTTCATCCTCAGATAGTCTTTCGGGCCGGTTTATGGAATGTTGGGTGGTGTCTTCAAAGATTATATCCTGAAGAATGGGATCATGTCCTGATCTTCGAAAATCATATCCTGGGGGCAGGGTCTTTCAGAATCATATCTCGAAGGCAGGGTCTCTCGCTTTATTGCACAAATCAGATTATTAATGGCTATTTTTCTATCGAAATAAATTATAACTAATGGCATTGTTGTATACTGTATCTTATTAATTTCATGCATCGCATTCATGCACATTTTTTTATTATATCATTTGTGTATCCAAAGTAATTAAACATTTTATATACTTGTAATCAGTAATCCTCGTTATAATGAAGCTTCCGTTATAATGAAGAAAACTGGTTGCACGGATGCCTTCATTATAAC